ACGTTCCCATTCGCCGTTCGAACCTCGGCTACACGGACCTGCCCATCGGCACCCGGAAAAACTTCAGTAATCACGCCTTTACGCCAGGTATTACGTTCTGTGTTATCATCCAAAATCAGGACGATGTCGCCTACCTTCAGAGGCGGCTCTGACTCTCTCCATTTCTTCCGCGGCATCAATGTTGGAAGAAACTCACGCAACCATCTTCGCCAAAACGCATCAGCGAAACTTTGCGCCAAACGCCACTGTTTCCGCGGACATGTGGTTTGTAAATCGCACCTGGATATTCTAATCTGCCCTGACGAGGACCCGAGTAGGAAATGATTGGGTGTCAACGCTTCATCATCGCGCGGATCCGTCGATACGTGTGTGAGCGGACGCGAATTTACACAATGCGCAACCTCTGCTAATAACGTTATCAAGACCTCTTCTCTAGGTGCTTGTTCTTTCAACACTGTTCCTAATGCGGTTTTAACTGATCGAATCATTCTCTCCCATGCTCCACCCATATGAGACGCCGTTGGTGGATTGAACTTCCATTCAATATTGTTTTTACAAGCGAAATTGTTGATCTCTGTGCGGTTTAATTCCCTTATCGCCTGCTTCAACTCTCTATCCATACCCCTAAAATTTGTACCGTTATCCGAATAAACACACACCGGTGTTCCTCTGACTGCTGAGAACCTTCTGAAGGCCATAATTGCCGAATCTGTGCTTAAACTGTGCGCCAGCTCTATATGGATCGCGCGAGTAGTCATGCATGTAAACAGCGCGCCCCACCTTTTCTCTCGTCTTCGTCCTATTTTTACCTGCATCGGACCGAAGTAATCTAACCCGCAATGAGTGAACGGACGTACAAAACAAGCTAATCTCGCGGGTGGCAAATCCGCCATCTTTGGCTTTGCTGGCAAACCGCGACGAATTTTGCAAACGATGCATTTCGAAACTAAACTCTTTAGAGCTTGCCTTAACCCGACTATCCAAAATTTCTGTCTTAATTCATTTATTACCGTTTCGTGACTTCCGTGATAAAATCTTTCGTGGGAATCCTTAACCAAGAGCTGTGCAAATTTCTCTTTGCCATCTAAGATTATTGGATGAGTAGCGAAATCATGGCTGGTAAAGTTCCCTAATCGACCTTCGGCGCGCAATACATTATCTTTGTCAATAAACGGATTTAAAGACGCAACCCTACTACTTCTGGGAACAGCCTTTGATCTCTCAATACAATTTAATTCTTCTGGAAACGATATCGATTGGCTCAACTTGTAACAAATAATCTCGGCGTTAACTTTTCGTTCAAGGCACGAGTGACTTCTGTTTCTCCATCTATCAACAGCTTCTAAGACCCGAGATACAGTAGATAAAAGCCTCGACAAGGACGAAAATCTCGAAAAGTTTAGCAATAAGTGTTGTTCTTCTACGACATTCGCTACAGGAAGGAACGATTTTGAAAATTCTAGGTCGGCCGTATCGACTTCAAAATGAACGTCGCTTTTCGGCCAAAGGGAGTCTGCCTTTGTTAGAAACGACGGCCCGGCTAACCATCTGCTATTCTCATCAAGTGCGTTAGGCGCGGCCCTAGTACCGTCATCGGCCGGATTATCTTTTGTCGGCACCCACCGCCACTCATTTACCTCTGAATTTTCGCGAATTTCACTTAATCGATTCGCGACGAAGATCTTAAATTCCCGAGGATCCTTCCTGATCCAATGTAGAACAGTTTTCGAGTCCGACCAAAATATCCTACGCGTGATTCTAAAATCGTGTTCACTCGCTATTGTTTTAGCTAATCTCGTAGCTAATAGGGCCGCTTGTAACTCTAATCGCGGAACGGACATAACTTTTAACGGCGCAACGCGACTCTTCGACATAATGATTGATACGCGAAATGTTTCATTTGGTAATTTAAATCGCCAATAAGCTACCGCTGCGTAGGCCTTTGTACTGGCATCGCAAAAAACGTGTAATTCGGCTGTTCTCAGTTGATAATTACGATCTTGATAACAACGCGGTATACTACATTTCCCGATTTTTCCCAATTCGATTAGCCATTGCTGCCAGTGCGTAAACTCCTCATCACGCAAGACCTCGTCCCAGCCTATACCACTAGACCAAATATACTGCATTAAGATCCGCGATTGGATCGTGAAAGGAGTGAGGAAGCCGAGCGGATCGAAAACGGACATTATCACGCCTAAGAACTCCCTCTTCGTTGGTTTTTTCTTACCATTATATATATCTTCTGAGATTTTACCTGGATTAAAATTGAATCCTAACTGATCATTCGAATTCGCCCACCTTAGCCCTAAAACTTTCTCGACGCCGCACGTCCCTGAATCTACTCCGATCAAGCGACCCGGATTATTGTCTGTCTTTAACCCTTTTAATACCTCAGTCGAGTTACTTGCCCAACCGTGCATTTCCCAATTCGCGAACTTATTTATATCTATTGCCTGATGCACGCGTTGACGAGCCTCATTCTCCGTTTCGCAGCTATCTAAAAAGTCGTCCATATAACAATTCTCTATGAGACTATTGGCGGTTTCAGGGAATTCTGACATGTACTGCGACGCATTCTTGTTCTTTATAAAAATCGCGGCACACGGCGAAGATCTGGCTCCAAACAACATTGATGTCATTACATACTCCGTAGGCTCCCTATCTCTATCCGCGCCTCTCCATAAAAATCGTTGCGCGTCTCGATCTTCTTTTCGAATCTTTATTTTCATAAACATATCTCGAATATCTGCTTTGATCGCGTATGCATATTGTCGGAACCGCATTAGTACCCCAAGCAATGATTTAAGTAAATCCGGACCCGTTAGTAATAGATCGTTGAAACTTACTCCGTTTTCTATAGCCGCCGCGTCATGGACAATCCTAACTTTCCCTGGCTTATTAATGTTAGTCACCCCGAAAAACGGTAAATATCGTAACCTCGGTCCCTGCTGTCTCTCTGCCACCTGCGCGAACCCTTGATCGAACATTCTTTGCATTTCCTTGTAGAACATTTCCCCGTACTCGGTATCGCGGTCGAGTCTTTTCTCTATTTTAGTTAATCGCTGGAGCGACATAGTACGACCATCTGAGAACCTGATCTCATCGTCCTTCCATGGCAATCCGACTTCCCACTCGACTCCATTGTGACGACTAGTATCTTCTAATATTTGTAACGCTCGCCTATCTTCCTGCTTAGCTTTAACATGACTACTCACGCCTAGCGATTCAATTTCGAAATACTGTTTAATTAATTTATCCGCTATCTCATCACAACGCGACCTCTCAATCGACGATGGACCTACTGTTGCGGACGCGATAAATTCCGAGTGCTTCCTAAAGGGTCCTCCGTGAATTACCCATCCCAACGAACAACGTGATACTACTAGGTTACTCTGCCCTATCTCTCGATATTCTTGCATTAAAATAAGTCCAATATTGTCCTGACCAATAAGCATACTTGGGGTAGCTTCGTAAGGATTCGTTCTTATCCCTGTCTCTGCCACACAAAGATCAACAATATCTCTCGTCACGCATTGAGAAGGAAGCCCGAGATTCCGAACAACCAACAAATTTCGGAGGAAGTAACGCTTACCTACACAATTCACTTCGAGATTAACTTTACTATGGCATAATGTGACCGCGCCCTCGCCTCCTACACCCTTTAAACACACCCTAGCACGCGTACTCTTAACTTCCACTTCGTCTACTATTTCCGAATCAATGATGGAAACTGTGGAACCATCGTCCAACAGTGCGTAAATGAGTTTCGATCCGCGCGGTCCCCAAATCTGAATTGGGACGTACTTCAGGAAAGATCGACCATCTAGTCACCTTTGGTGATCCACACGCGCAGCGGATTCGTCCTTTCTGCGCGAGACGTTAGCCGATTCACCGATCTCTTCTTTCGACTTCACATGAACGGAGTCTACCTTAATAGGGTGTAGGAGAGGGTGATGTGATCGACCACATCTCCCACAAGGCGACTGCTTGCAATCATATTGAGAATGCCCTTGCCTGAGACAATTGAAGCATACCCGATTCGTTCGCGCTACTCGCCACCTATCGCTAAGCGCAAGCCTCTCGAAACTTCTACACTTCTCAATACCGTGACCCCTGCGATTACAATTAATACAATTATCTCTTGTACTCATCTCCCTTTCATCCTGATCCTTTCTACTTATTTCCCGCGTCGCATACGCTCCTCTTTCACGGTAACGCGTATTCGGACGTAGATTTTTCGCAGATCGTGGTGCCTCCGCAACATCGAGAGTGACAACGCCCGAAGATATTCTCATCTCTGCCTCTTTGTATACGAACTCCGCGATCCGTAACAAGGCAGGTAGATCTTTACCACCGTTCAGCGCGTAACTGCCGTAATTATACGCCAACGTCTCTGGTAATTTCTGGAGTAAACTATACACGAGTTCTTGATTTTTCAAATAACCTTCGTCTACGTCTAATGATTTTACTGCTAACGCGGCTGCTCGCAAACGCGTCGCGAACTCTACCAAAGTAATTCTCCGGTCCGCAATGCTCGGTAAATCCTTAATTTCGCGAATGATCTTGTTTAAAATCACGGCGGTATTCCCGAACCGCATTTCCAACGTCTTCATTATATCTTCCGCATTGTTACCGGCTATAAATAACGCGCGCACTTCATCTTTCGCGTCGCCTTTTAACAAACCCGCTAGGCGCATCACATTCTCACGGTCCGAATATTCACCGAGTGCCGTCGACATTTCAAATGATTGCTTGAACCGTATCCATTCCAACGGATCCCCAAAGAAGGGTTGCAAAGTCTTAGACGAGGTCATCCTTGAAAATAGTCAAGTATTATCATTTCTCGTACCAGGTTCTCTAACCGCTGCTAACGTATTCTCGATGGCTCTACATATTCGATCTTCCGCTCGCGAATCTCTAGGACAATAATCGTCGTACCGCGATCGCGTCCGTCTATTCGAATCGCGACTACGTTCGTTGTCACTCTCTATGCTTCCATCTGACTCCTCGTGTTCTTGCGAAAGGTAGATCTTTACCACCGTTCAGCGCGTAACTGCCGTAATTATACGCCAACGTCTCTGGTAATTTCTGGAGTAAACTATACACGAGTTCTTGATTTTTCAAATAACCTTCGTCTACGTCTAATGATTTTACTGCTAACGCGGCTGCTCGCAAACGCGTCGCGAACTCTACCAAAGTAATTCTCCGGTCCGCAATGCTCGGTAAATCCCTAATTTCGCGAATGATCTTATTTAAAATCACGGCGGTATTCCCGAACCGCATTTCCAACGTCTTCATTATATCCTCCGCACTGTTTCCGGCTATAAATAAAGCGCGTACTGCATCCTTCGCGTCGCCTTTTAACAGACCCGCTAGGCGCATCACATTCTCACGGTCCGAAT